GCTAGATTCTGTGAATGATTTAAATGATGCTAACATGTAGATTCAGAGCTGATCCAAATACCTCCAGCTCAGTTCTTTTTTTCTGACTCCATGTCGCTAATTTTAGATGAAACAAAAAAAAAAACAACGTGATGCGGCGGCTTGTTTGGTTTAAAACGTGAGCATTTTGATCTCCTCACAGTTTTCACCTCTTTGAACGATATCTGACATTAGCAGCTTTCCTCCTCTGCATCTATACTTAGCGTTACCATAGCAACATGCTCCATCTGTCACTAGCACATGGCTGGAAACACAGCCCATAATAATCTGGATACCCACACTGCCAAAACATTGCTGCCATGGCAACAATAAGAAGGCTTTAGTTTATTCCAGTAAACATTAAGAGGTCATGAGGACTGTTTTAATCAGATGACGTGTTTCTTAGTGACAGAACATCAGCAAAGATCTAGAGTTGTTAGAGTGAATGTTTCTGTGTGGATATGGGCCTGAGAGCAATCAGAGGGATTTATTTATTTAAACAAGTCATAATAGGGCGGCCATTTCTCTAGCACCAAAAGGAGGACATCATGCAGCATATCAATAAATTATTAAGGTGTACATAAAAATCTGGTAAAGTCTAATTTATAGAACCATTCTAAGGGGTTTAAAGAGGATGTTTGTGTAGGAAAGAATATTAATGAAAAGTAAAAAAGTATTGGTCACAGTATCTGTATTCATCATTAATTCATTATGGTGTTTAAAAAGTGACCACTGAGAGAAATCTGTGGGGGACAGAATGCAACAAAGCAGAATATGTTTGGACCTAAATGTTAAAAAAGTATTTATTTAACATTCATAATAAAAAAAGCCTAATATTTTATTTAAACAACAAATGAGATTATAAAAAAACACATTGAACTGCTTATAAAGTAGAGCTTTTTTTAAAAAGCGTTCTAGTCTTTTAGGAACTTGTCTTCAGTGTCTATGTGCGGCAGATCTGTTTTTATGGTCGTCCCTTTAGCTGAGGGCGAGTCACTGAAAATCTCCCGCTCCACTTTCACGCCACAGTCTACCTTCTGCAGGACAGCTGATGGTTTACAGTCTGGTCCACCTTGCAGCTCTGCAGCAGTTATTTTATCATCCAATCTGAATGAATAAAGCCTCATTAGCTACGTTTACATGGACACAACTAATCGGATGGAAGGCCTGATCAGATCAAAAATGTTTCATGTAAAC